CAGGAGGACAGTCAGCTTTCATTGGGGTGAGCAAGGGAGAGATTTGCTGCGTCACTCTGAGCTCCCTCACTGCATGGAGCTGAATCCGTCTTTATACTGAAGTCTCTAAGCTCAGCAGAAAGACAGCAGGGTTTCAAAGACAACACTTGGTTTGTTTGTTTATCAAGAACTATGTCCTCCGGACATTCCAGTTCTATTGAGCACTTTGACTGCTTCAGGTTCCTTCCTGCCAAAGGTCACAGTTAAATGTGCAATGCAACATCTCACCAGCCCACCATCTATGTACTGGGCATAGAGGCAGTTTGACCAACACATGATCTCCCCTTTAAAATCACTCTTGCTTTTGTTGGACACATAGCTTCCTAACAAAACACTGTGGAACTGCTCCTGCAAAAAGGCAATTGTTCTCTTGTGGTCTCAGCATGAGGACACTGCAGATTACTGCAGTATCTGCTGTAAACACCCTGGCCCTGTGCTGCAGAATAAATCAATGAAAAGAGCCTGAACAGGCTCAGGCGTCTTATTTAAAGATTGACATGATGGTGTCAATCGTGATGGTACAGTGGCTGCTGCTCCACCCAACATGCTCACCTTCTCTGGGCTTATGCTCCTCCCCATGCCAGCAGACACATAGAAGCCTTTCCTATTCATAGCAGGGACACTACTGCAAACTCCCAGGTCAGAGGAGGAATACTTAATGCTGTTCCAGAGATCTCTGACACTGCAGCTAACTGGCTGACAACGGGGCAGGCTGTATCATTAGTTACAAGAGAGGCTAGCGTTATGGTTGGTAAAGGGCAATAACTCATTTTGGGGCCTACCATTATTCTAGATCATCACTGGACCCTGTTCATGGTCATATGTTAGAAAGGAAGCACCAAACTCTTGGAACTGAGCAGGAGAAAAAGTAGGGGTCCTGGACCGACGGGGACAAAATCAGAGAAAAAAGAGTTGATGAAGCCACTGCAGCATGTGGACATTGAATAGTTTTGTGAAGTGGGATACACTGGCTGAGTTGGAGAATGACAAAGCTGGACAAGAACTGCACAGAGTGCTGCAAGACTGATGAGGCCAGGGACAGCCATCGGGGGGAAAAAAAAAAAAAAAAAGGAGTGGCAGCATTGTCTCACTGTTGCCAACATAGCCAGTTTTTTTGCAAATACAAGTTAATTAACAAATACATATATTTCTTTTTGAATCTTAAAAAAACATTTTTAAGATGAAGGAAATTAGTAAGCCCAACCTCACGCCCTTGTATTTAAAGTACAAGCATTCCACTCTAGTGGAAGGGCCATGCCAGGACCAGATTTGGCTACGTGTGTGGTTTTGCGACAGCTTATGAAACAGGCTTTGCGTCTCCTCCTCCCAGCTTTCGTGCTTAGCTATAAACTGCCTTATAAAGAGAGTTACTGTTACAAGGCAGGCAAGTGACTGTTTTTTTCTGAACCTTTACTTTGTCTAATATGTTTCAGATTTCTGCAGTCTCTGCCAAGCTTTTCCATTCCCTTTCCTTTTTTTTTTTTTTTTTTAAAGACATAAACCAGTCTTATGACTGGAATGGCACAGCCAAGAAAAACAATCTAGGTCTGATTTTTAGCATTACATAACAAGGGGTCAGTTTAAGAAAAAAATCTAGATCTAAAGCAGCAGGTTGAGTGCAGTTTGTGCAGCAAAAAATTAGAGCTTTGAAGAGAGGAACTAGAGAAACCAAGCAACTGGTGTAGGAGATCTACCTCTTTTCACCTTGGAGTCAGTAGTTTATAGCTCTTCTGAGCTGATATTTGAAAGCTACAGTGTTTGGTTTAGCTTTATATAAAGACTTCACTATACGAGTTTCATTTGTTCTGTACACGGAAAAAAATGCCATCATTCTAACTGGTGGTCACAAAGAATGCAAGGGAAGAAGAGATGAAGGACCACTCTCCCAAGGCTGGCAGACCCCCTACCACCACCACATCTTGAATTTAATGAAAGTGCTGCATGGAAAAGCTTGCATTTCCACAGTCTAACACAGCGTATCTTGAACACAAACAGGACTCCAGTATCTAGAGAAGCCCATCTGGCATCTTTTCCTACCAGAAGTTTTTAAAATAAAAGAAGAATTCAGGTATTCAGCACTGTATGTCAGGAATGACCTCTTCCTGCTCCTTTCTCCTCTCCAGGCAAATTTCTACCAATTGCTGGTTACCTTCCATTCTGGCTGACCAATATGAAAAGCTGAAGTGCTGTTATTTTAAGCATGCAAACTCTGTTAGCCATCACATGTTAATTAGAATCATTATCCTATCTACAAGCCTATGTGAAATGTCTGCAAACATACCTTTGTCTGCTTGACTGTGTATCGCATCGTTCCAAATGGTCCATCTTTCATGAGCTTCTTCCCCACAACTTTAGCTCGGATCACTGTCATAAGAGAGGAAAAATAAAACAAATTATAAAATAATTTACAAAACATTTAGGCTAGACCCTCCACTTCAAAAAAGCCACTTAGATAAATTATTCTGTAAAATAAAACAAAACTCCAGGCCAACCTTCCTCTCAATTTATTCTAAATCTCACACACAATGAAGGCATGTAAAATGGGATGCCAAAGCAAGTATTTATTTAGAGGAAATCCAGTTCTGTGTGAAGAATAAGAACAAGCATTATTTATGTTGAAATCTCAGTGAAATCTGCAAAGCAGACTACAGCTGGGACCAAGGCGGGTTAAAATCTTTGCACCAAGCCACTGGGTGAAGTTCGTATTTAATGTCTTAACTCTCAACATATGGCATGACGTTCAACAAGATACTACTTTTCAATTGTTCTTTGGGTGCCCAATGCAGCTTCAGGTTCCCAATAACCACAACAATACAGTACAGCACACTGGAATATCCCGTATCTAGGGACTTCACTATAGCTGCCACCTTTCAGATACCACAAAACTCCCAACAAATGGCTCCCTTGAACAAATAGCTACTGTGCAAAACCAGGTTGTTCAGCAACCATCAAGCCCACAGCGAAAGCTGCCAGGCCAGCCAGAAGCCACCTGGAAGACAAACTAAAGCTGACCCATCAGTCAGAGCTCACATACACTGCACTTCATTTCATCATGGATACTAAGGGGCAGTGTGTGTGAATGCGTGCACACAGCATCCAGCCTGACACAGATACCTCCATTGTACCACAGACACACCACAGCAATGTCAGCTGAGCCCAAGCCATCATAGATAAGGTTTTGAGGTCATTCAGATGGATCTAGTGGGTAGTTTACAGTGCTTAACGAAGAGTTCTCCTGCTCATCTATTTTTGGGGCACTCCACAAAAAACCCTACTGTTCCACTGATCCTCTTTGAAAAAGTTCTGCAGTCACCTCCTCATCTCAATAGAGGAGCAAAGCTTAGTGACAGGGCAGGCATTATTCACCTCAAGTCCACTCCCCTCAAACAATCGTATCACATTATATGAGCACGAGAAGTGGCTTAATTTTTACAAGGGCTGCAGATAATTAGACTGGAGAAGGCCAATCCTGGGAAGAATAAGGATCACTGCTAGAAAACCCTGTACCCCAAACGCCACTCATACAAACAACAGGACAAAAAAAATTAAACAAGGAACTCAAAATTCCATCAATCAAGAGAAACATCAAAACTACAATATAACTAAGCAAATCTTACCTAAAATCTTATTCATCAAGCTTCTCATTACAAGAGCTATGAAAATTATTCCAGTAGAATAATCCAAAGAATGCAACATACTCATAACACAACTGACAATGTAGTAGTTATATATAAATCCCCCAGAAACCCCTTTTTTGTGGAGATATCAGATATGTTTGTATAAAGCTTGTATCAGTACACTATTGCAAACAATGCACCTCTGCTGAATATATGGCCCAATGGTTCCAGACTACTGAAATCCAGCAACTAAAATGGACCACATGCATCATTTCCTCTGAGCCTACGAAGGTCCTATTCATAACTCCCTGCATAGGACAGAGGTACTGCTTTCACAGCAATCTTCTGCAGCATTTCATCTGTGTTTTGCTGAATGTATCATATTAATTCATCACAGAAAACAATTCAGTAAAAAGCAGGAAGGCATGGAAGGGAGACAAAGAGGTGAAGGTACTCCTTTGCAAGCAGGAAAGACCAATGAGTTATTGTTTGCATTACAGCACTATCTAAAAGCAGCAACAAGGTTCAGGGATCCATTTTGCTAGGTATATAGGACATTAAACAAGCACCTTGTTGCTTCTTAGCTCATTTAGTTTTCAAACAGCTGTGGAAGCCCACTGGAAGAAATGGGAAAAAGAGGAGGCTAAGTTTTTCTTCACTACCTAGACCAAATTAATGAGGCAAAAAGCTTTCTGAATAACCTGAAGAACAGATTTAAAGGAAGAGACAGGTCTGGTTATACACACCAGTTCCTGGAACTTGTTCCATGAGGATGGTGTAAAATGAAGACAAACTCACTCTGCTCTGAGTTATATCCTATGCTTCAGCCAGACTTGTCAAATAAATTTTAAACTAGGTAAGACAGTTCTGCTGTCTTTGATTCAAAGGACCAACAAAACCTTCATTCATTGAGCGGAAAACTTAATTCTTAATTTTTTTTTTTCAAACTTCTATTATCCAATGGCTGTAAAAGACAGTACAATTTTATTGATTCTTCTATTTAACAAGTTGTTCAGACTTCGATTTAATCCCTTCTTCAAAATTTAGTAGCTATACTGAAGCATGTCCTTTAGGACTCCAAATATCCTTAAAGAACTAAGTTCTTCCATTTGTTGCCTCCAACCACCACTACCACCATCAGTGAAACCACAAAAAACAGACTGCCTAAGGGTCAATGAGAAAGAACGCAATTTCTTTATGGCTTTGTGAATTCTAGGGTGCTTCACTAATGCTGGAGTCTATAGCAAAGGGTGTCAGAAGTCTTATCTTCATCTACTGCATATCTGATAACACTATTGCAACACTGATAAGAGGTTGAAAAACCTGGTGTTTGCCCAACACATCTGAAATCAACAATGAAATCTAAAATCTTATTGACAATGATAAGATAGATACTAAAAGGCAATATTGCAGAACACTAGGGTTTCCAAACCAGAACATGGTTAGCATAAAAGATGACAGCCACATTCCCAATTGCTGACAAAATATCTAAAAACCCATTTTCTTCAGGTACTTCACTGCTAGCTTGGCAGCCCTTTAACTTCTAGTTAGAGTAGCACAGCCATTTCAGAAAGAAGCCAGCTTTGATTTATGGACTAATCAACAGCTTCACCACAGGACCAAAGATTCAAAATGCACATCTACTCCAGCACCTAACAGTATCTCAATTTCAACTAATGCTACCCTTGTAAGCAGGTGGAAGGATCTGTATTTTCGTATCATTGTTCCCCAGTAAAGTTAGCGAAGAACAACCATCCAAGCAAATTTACTTAGTAAAAACCATAAAAAACCTTCGTGTGGGCCATCACTTCAAGCCTTCTGTAAATGGGTCAAAGCCCTCTGTATCTCAGAGAAGTTGTCTTTATCACCCAAATGATAACTTTTCTAGGTAAGTTCCTTCCTTTATGAAACAGCTAGGAATGAACAAAGAATCCACCCTGCCTCACTTTTCCCATATTAAAGGAAAAGTCAAGCTGTTAGCCAAGGAGCAGAGGATACTCCAACTTAAGTCTACCCCCTGTATTTTGTGAGGCTAAATTCCCACCCCCTGAGGATTAGATACATCTGGATAACTGGAGAGAAATGCTGGATGGACAGAACTGCTCAGAGTTTGTTCTTGCATGTCCAGCTTCATCACCCTAAGCCTCCATGCATGAGAGCCACTTGTAAATCTGCCTGGAACAGAGTTCCAAGCTGCAGATCTGCAGCCACATGTTTCCCAGTTCCTGTCTTTGCTCCTTCAAACTGCTGCTCACCAGTTACACTGCTGGACCACTCTTCACACCTAGTCAGAAGATAAAAGAACAGTACTCCTAACTGAGCAGGGGCCATACACACTTGCCAGAGGAATTTTTCACCCTCTGCAAAGCATCAGGAATTTACAGTATTTCTGCTCCAAATTCAGTCCATGTTACATTAACAAAGTCAACTGTTTACTTCTGGGAGCTCCTACTGCTTGAGCAGAATAAGGCAAAAGGTACTGTGACTGCTCCCCTGAACTCCTTCCTTCTCCCTGAAGCTATATTACAGTCCTGCTATTACTGATGAGAAACTTTATCCCACACAAGTGGACACCAAAATAGCTGCATATTTTTAAACCACAATTCCTTTGAAGTACTGCCTATGAAAATACTCCAAGATGAATGTTTCTCAGTACTTTGGGGTTGCAGGTTGGGTCACTTTGTGGGACTGGAGTAGTTTGGAAGGTCTCACGAGTGATTTGTAATTATTTATGAAAAGTTAAATTAGATGAGGATATAAATCTTGATAAGAGAAGCATGGCAGCCATACCATGATTGAAAGGGGAGAAAACATATACACTGCTTCTCAAAATTTGACATGATTAAAAAAATGGAGAAAGAAAAATGGATATTTAGTTGATATTCTAAAAAACAAAGTTTTTAAGAAAATAACAACCTGCTGTGTTTGAGGATTCAGGAAATACATCTAACAAGGTATCACAAACAATTAGTGTATTTATCTCTTTCCTTTTTTTTTCCCTTTGCCTTGGTTTTCATTTTTGTTGGTGGGGTTTTTCTGGTGTTTTTTTTTTTATGTAAACTAGCTTAGTGCTTAGGAAAACAGAGATGGCTCAGATTTGCCACAAGACTAGTATAGTGCAAGCAGCTAATGGTTTGTATTTCACTGGCATCTCTAGTGTGGTACAAACCGTCTGCATGTGCATGTATACACACAAATACACACAGAAATCACATCTTTTTCCAAATGTCACAGGACGAGGTCTTATAAAAGGCAAACAAATCAGAATGGGCATAAGAGAAAAAGGCCCTACACGCACTTTTATTTGCCCAAATGCACACATATCCAACTCAAGTACTCTTTAACTTTATCCCTTACTCTATGGCCATTTTCTCAAGGATTCATAGGAAGAACAGGCCTAAAGGTAAGATATGAAGCAGAAGAGGACACCGGCTTTACAGCTGAGATAGCAGACGGCATTCTTTTGATGAGGCAAGAAGTAGACAAACAGCCAATGACCAATGTGAGGGAATTGGACACGTGAGATTAAGACAAGCATTTTCCAAGCTGAGGAAACAACATGGTGAAAAGACTTGTGATTACCAAGTCACTTCATCCAGGCACACACTAGTTTTCCCAACTGAAAAGCAAAGGCATCGACTGTCTTAGCTCAACCAAGCCTGTGTCCTCTATCGGGGCCAGCCACTAGATGGTGACACTATCACGAAGCTGACCTTACCTTAACGTGAGGGCAGCGCTACATGCACAACCTAAC